GTTTTTGAGATAGCTAACCACACCGGTGGATCAGTTGTTAGTAAACTAGGTGATTTCCTTGCACGTTCTTGCAGGATTTTAAGGATTAATTTTAGTTAAATTTTATATGAATGAAATGATCTAAATCAAAAGACATTATTTTCAAAAGTAATTATGTCTGAACAAAGAGTATGCATGTAGCTGGACAATTAGAGATAGAACAATTAAATTGGGACATGCATGTACTACAGAATAGTTTTAATGGATGATGATGTGGCACATTTGGTGATGTGGAGAGATGCATGTTGAGAGAATTAGAGTTAGTGAGGATCAACTATTTAGGTATTATAGAAATCAAACCTGACCACATGAGGCTCGGCATGGCCGAGCGGTAAAAGGGACTGGCACGGCAGGCCCCACAAAAGCCTAGCCACAAGGATCGGCCGAACACCTAGGTATAAAGGCCAACATGTAGCTTTTTGGCCTGCCATTTGTTTTTCAAAATTTAGAGAAGTCTAAAATTAAGAGGAAAAAATACGAAAACATTTACAATTATGAAAAGAACATAGAAAAATCTAAAAAGTAGAAAAAGGCCTAGTTATGCGTCGGACCATGTTGTGCAGATTCGTAATTAAAAAGGCCGTGTCGTGCCCGACCTTAGGGCATGGCTTTTGGAATATTCTTACGTCAGCCCGTTTCTTTTAGTCGTGTGTCGTACCGGGCTGAAATTACGAGCCTATGGGCTGGCCCGCGCGACACGATTCACATGACTAGGTTTGGTCAATATGTCCACGCGCACTTATATAGGATTCGCCGGTCCGTTGCACATGAGGTCGATGATACTCAACGTGCCGAATTTCAAAGGGTAGAGGAAGACATATCGGCGGCGTTCCTGACGTCTGCACCTTGAGCTGGGATTCTTCCAACCTATACTTCAAAATCTCCATCTGTCTAGGGAGGCGCTGGTTGTCCAAGCTAGCTGGTTGTCCGCGCAAAACAAGCACGAGATTTTTTTAAGGCAGTTTGCAAAAACATGAGGAGATTCGATGACGGTGTAATACACCGGGGGTGACCTCTCCAAGAGGAGTCTGATAGCAGGTCTGCCACAAGGCCCAAAAGGCTCACCAAGGAGCTAGCGACAGAAGGAGCATGGATGATCGGATAAACATCTAAAAATCATCTTGCCCCCCAAGTCTATGTGATGGTGGCCAGGCCGAATCTCTCTCTTGTAAAACCCTAGTACCATCATCTATATAAGGTGGGGGCTCTCAATCGCATCTACTTCCTAGAGCTAGACTCTTGGTAGCCATCATCCCATCTCTCATAATCTCTCGCATGAGGTATACCCACCATGAACACGAACACAAAGCAGGGCGTAGGGTATTACTCCTCTCCGGAGGCCCGAACTTGGGTAAACTCCCTATGTGACCTTCGATCTCGTATCTTTAAGAATAACAAATCATCGGAGAGAATAATTCCATGAAAACCATATGGATAACACCGAGAAGATCCACAATAATATGAATGATTAAACAAGTCGCAATCTCCAAATGAGTATGAAACTATGAATAGAGTTTACACCCTACAACCTGGAATTCCTCCACGGATGGTGAAGAAATGATGAAATGGAATAGAATAAAGATGGTGAACGAGACGGAAATTATCTTTGGTGGCTCTTCTCCGGATCTCTTCTCCCTCTGTTCTGAATTGGCAGCGGCTAGGTCTCTCTGATGTCCCCCTTTCTTTTACGATAGTTGCTCCTATAAATGAGGGGAGCAGGCGGTGTTTGGTACGACTGCTGGTACGAGCACTTGCGCTTGTACCCGTGGTCGTCTTGAGCTCTAATGTGCGTGGTGAAAGATCTTCCAATATGGAGGTTACTTCAAATGGCTTGATTTGGTGTAATCCTGGTTGGTTGATTTCCTTTCATAAATGAATTTTCCTGCCAAACAATGGAAAATAAGTTTTCTTATCTCTCGAAGCATTAACGTGAGAAATAGCCAAGAAATATCGAAAACCCGGTGGAAACCTCATCAAAACTACTTATAAAAAATCACGAATTCTCGAGCCTCATCTGCCGACGCCCCTGCCGATGACACACCACTCCCTGCTCGAGGCTGTGTCGCACTGCCCCCTCCCTGACAATGTGCCATTGCCCGCCCCTACAGACGTCGCGCCACTGCCCGCCCGAGCTTCTAAGTGAGATTTGTATACAAATTGGAGTGGGGAAGTATTAGGGTAGTGGCGGGAAGGGCACTGGTTTGCCGATTAGGTAGTGTACCTAGTTATATAGATCGATTAGTTGGCGATTCGTTAATTTGAGTTAGATCGATTAGTTCATAGTGTACATAGTTATATAGATTACTTCATAGTGTAGTTTAGTTGTAAGTTGTTACTTAGCACAAGTTTATAATACCAAATTAGTATTTGTTTTATTGACATAAGTTTTTCATAAGAAAGTTATAGAAGAGAGATAGAAGAGATAACTAATTAAATAGTCCAGCTAGGAAGGGTAAAGTAATGCGAGAGAAGAAGAAATGAAATGCAAAGAGGCGGGAAGAGTAGTGAAGAAGAAAATATAACCGAGAGAAGAAAGCCTCCATTTTATCGAAAATCCAAATCTGAGCCCGAGCTCATCTGCACCTGCGCTCACCAAAAAAATCAAAATAAATACTAAAAAAATTCAAAAAATTCCAAAAAAAATTGGGGTGGTGGACAATTTGATGCGTGAGGTGCGCCCCAATTTTCAAAACATTTGGACTTATGTGCAGCTCTCAGCAAAAAAGACAAATCGGAGGTCTGTAAAAATGTGTACTGTTCATATACTGTTTTGGTTTGATTTGTCTTTTTTGTTGAGAGCTGCACATAAGTCCAAATGTTTTGAAAATTGGGGCGCACCTCACGCATCAAATTGTCCACCACCTCAATTTTTTCGGAATTTTCGGAATTTTTCTGAATTTTTTACGATTTTTTTTGAACGGGTGCAGATGCACCCGGGCACCGAAACGCCGCACTCCCATTTTATCCTTTATTTTACTTGATAAACACTTTTTTCCACTAAGGATGGGTTAGCTAGGGTTTAGGGGACATGTGTCAGCATTATTATCTAATTTGTGAGTTGACTATTTAGTCCGATGTGGCTACCTTTGTGATACCAACTGTTGTTGTAGGGTGTCATTCCTTTCTTTACCTTCCTCTGTCGACCTTGGTAACAAGGAAGGAAGAGAAGGAACGACCATCACTGACAGTCGAAATACACGCGAAGGAGATCCCGCCATATATATACCACCACCTAAGAGATGAGAGTTGTTGAAGCGCCCTGACTGTTGTCGTAGGTGGTGGTTATTGTACTTTCCCTCTATTAAGACGATGGTAGAGAAAGAGGGGAAGTAAAATGATACGTCTTCAACATATCTACTTTTTCAAACACTTTTGCTATTGTTCTGGCCTTTAATTTACATGATTTGAATGAAACTAACCCGGGCTGACGCTATTTTCAACATAACTGCCAGGGTGTTATTTTTATGCAGAAATAAAATTGCTCGAAATTGGACGACAATTTTTGAAAATTTATTTTGAAATATATAAAAAATAGTGGAGGAAAGAAGTACCGAAGAGGAGCCAGGGAGCCACATGGGCAGGAGGCGCGACCGAGCTTTGCTACATCTACGTAAAAAGTCTTACGAAACTTACGTAGAAGCTTATGTGGCCTAATTTGGTTGGAAGTTAAAATGGCCCGGGCCCACCCCATGAAAATCAGGGGGCTGATTAGTTTAGAGGAAGGAAGGTTACGTAAGATTAAGTAAGAGCCTACGTAGGTGTAGCATTTTTGGGCGCGACCATCCCCTGTCCGTGCCACGTGGCCATGCGGGCCCCCTGTGCCCCACCACCATCCCCCACTTTGCCGGCAGCGTGAACGGCAGCTTCGGAGACCTCTCTCCATCCATCGCACAGGCAATGTACTACCCAAACCGAAAATGCTAAACCTACGTAAACACCTACGAAGGGTTACGTAACTTGCCAAATCCTAATCCTAATTGCCCCCTGATTTTCAGTGGGATGGGGCCTTCACCCCGCACTTCCAATCCTAATCTTACAAGTCAGGCTGTACGTAAAACAATTACATAACCTTTCGTGGGTCTAGCATTACTGCTACCCAAACTGCCCCTGACTCCTTAATATACTACAGGAATTTTGTGGTAGTACTATCATATCTGCGCCGTTGGATCCCAGAAATAAACAGTCCAAAAAAATATGATGTACTGTAAAAGGACTCATTTCTTTTGATCTGAGATTATTACACGCGGGTTATAGGAGTATATAGCACCTAGAGTTAGTCCTAACTCTATACGTATTGGTGATTGTCTACATGAACACGTACTACTACATCACAGCGTGCTTAACTAGTCCTACATGAACACGTACTACATCACAGCGTGCTTAATTCCAACAGACACGGGACGGGCTTTTTGGCTTCAGGGTCGGCCAATTTGGGCTGAACCAAAGCTATATGCCGCCGCCGCCGGCAGGCAACATCCAAACCCTAACCCCACGTACAGAACGTGGCAAATAACCAGGCAGCCATGGAAGATCTCCCCGATGAATTGCTCGCGGACATCCTCCGGCGCGTTCCTCCACGGAGTCTCGCGGTGTGCCGGAGCGTCTGCAAGCACTGGTGCGCCGCCGTCGACACCCACGAGCTGCTCCTCGCGGTCGCGCACCGCGTGCCCTGCGCTCTGCACGGCATCTTCGTCAACTACGTCAACGTGCGAAGGTCCGGATTCTTCTCCCGCATCACGGCCGGGACTACCAGCCAGCCCTCTATCGACGCCAGATGGTTCGCTTCATTCCCTGGCCAACTGACTCGCCACCGTAGCGTCCTGGATCACTGCAACGGCCTCCTCCTCTACGAGAACAAGCAGGTGCATGTGTGTAACCCCGTGACACGCAGGCGGGCAACGCTGCCTGCCCCGCCACGCGCACAAACTCCCTACAGCCACTTGCCCTACTACCGCCATCGTATGTACCTAATGTTCGACCCAACCATGTCGCTGCACTACCATGTCCTCTTCTTCCCTGATGCTCCCGACAGGCCAAAGCCACCGTATTTTCAACCTGCGGGTGTGTCACAGTCTATGAGAGCAAATCACGAGCACGAGTGTAACACCTTGGGTGTAATGGAATGGCCACCGTACGTGTACCCGCTGCAAGTTTTCTCGTCGAAAACTGGCCGGTGGGAGGAGAAACAATTTGTTCGTCAAGGTGATGCGGCGGTTACCGTGTCGGATGTGTGGTCAGATGGATCTTCACCAATTAGCTGCCAAGATGGGCTTCGACGCCATGCAGTGTACTGGCGGGCATCGTTCTATGTATATTGTGACACCGGTTTCATTATGAGGTACGTACAAATGATGTTACGATGGACTACTTTTGTTGATTATTATTATTCTCTTGTTTATACTTTACATATTATGTAGGTTGTCACTTGAAGACCGAATATATTTAGCGATCAAAACCCCAAGACAAGATATAACAGGGTGCAAGAGACATCTTAAGACATACGAGTATCTCGGAAAATCCAAGCATGGTGTCTACTTCACCGCTTTCCATGGTTACCAACTTCAGGTATGGGTACTAAGGGACACATTAGAATCATGTCGAACTCCTGAGTGGGAGCTGAAGCATCAAGTGGACCTTGAGCCTAAGTTAAAGCTACACTATAACAGACACTTCAGAAGAGAAAAGTATGAAAAGTGTTGGATCTTAGATTCTTGTGATGAAGAGTCCGAGGATAGTGGACACTATGCATGGGATTCTAGTGATGATAGCGTCATTGATGTTGAAGGAGGTATTAATATGGATTACAAAGATTATTACTTTGCCGTTGACTTGCTGGGGTACCATCCTTACACAGAAATTGCTTTCATGGGCAACCGTTTCCAAGGATTTGCTTACTACTTGGACAACTCCAAGTTACAATACTTGGGGTCACCTTACCCAGCATACCTAACCAAGCATGATCGTCGTTTGCTACCCATGCTTGAGTCATTCATCTACACTCCTTGCATGGATGATCTGCTTCCTGTTCAAAATGATGCATGATGAGCAAGTTCTTAATTTAATTAGATATTAAGTAGGTTAGCAATATGTTTTAGGTGAGAGAATAATCAAATGGTGGATGGTGGGATGCTATATATGTTTTCTATAATTGAATAATGTTCTTTTTTAAAGAGGTGCAACTTGATTCTTGTTACTTTTTTTGTCGGTTTTCTCCATATAGTTTTGCTAAAAAATATATCGATGTGTTTGGTTTTCAAGTGACGTGAAAGAGGTGTAAAATTCAATTAATGTTGGGTGAGACATCTATTAATAATACATATAGATTTCGTGACTGTTCCAATGGTCACCCCCCTGACCCTTTCATCATGTATATTCTGGAGTATGAATTACACATGACTACAAAAGAAAGGCAGTTGACATATACATGGATGAATACCTTTTTTTTATCTTGCAGGAGAGGGAAACCCAATATTATACCAGCATCTCTTTTATATTGCGAAATATGCATTAGTGAAGTACCTCACCTTATACATTGAAGTATTCTTCATTTTATTTTTCACATGGCGCTTTTTTGCAACTAAACTGATGTGACACAATCTATACAGGAATGTTGTTCATGTAATTAAACACCCAATGGATGGATATTTAAAAGATAGTTCAATATAAACTATATTTCTCGTACTAAAATATTTATGCGAGCATTCAGCACGGCCTCGCGCCGTATTTTCACACCAGCGCAGGTCCCATCATGAGCGTAAATATGCGCTATAAAGCAGGATGAAAGTCTATTTCGAGGAGCGCAAGTATGCGGCAGCGCAGTGGTTTCACACATATATGTCTTACGTTTGACATAATATGGTTTGAGTGAAATGCTATTAGTCCACTAACTCAAATGATTGCACGCTTTAGGTCAAGAACTCAAGAAGTGATCCGATTTAATCAATAAAATCATTTATTTGATCATGTAAGGCCAAAACCAATTCAAAAGAGAAAAACCCGTCTACATTTCTGCCACATCAGTGTACCTTGGACCGCTCGTGCTTGGTTTAATTTCTAGAGGGTGTCCTTTGCAAAAATTGCAAAATCTACCAGTTTATTTGCTTTAAAAAAGGAAAACGTTTGTTTTCCGCCTACTGATTTCCACGCCGCACAAACCGCCTGGAACGCACGACACGTGTCTAGCCGCACACACCACTCGCAACCGCCCCAGCCTTATCTTCTTAGCGTCCACATGTTCGTCCTCACTCTTTTCCCCTTCCCTTGCTGCCACATGCGGGAGGGAGGCCTCGCGCCGCAGCATGAAGTGATGGAGGAGGAGGCTGGAGGCTAGAGGCTGGCGCCGCTCGTCGCTGGTGCTGCAGCGCAATACGGGAAGGCTGGAGGCGGGCCGCTCATCACCAGAGGGGGCTGCGTCCCCGTGGATCTCGCCACAACGGTGGAGCTACGGTGCAGCACAAGCGGCGCTGCGACACCGTGGAGCTCGGCAATGCTACGACCCCATGGAGGTCGGCAGCAGCGGTACTGCAACGGGAGCTCTCGCCGGTGGTTCCCGGAATTCCATTTGAATAGGCAACCTCCGGTTATTTCTCATTTATTATTTGCGGATGATAGTCTGTTATTTTTCAAGGGCCCAATCGACCAAGTAATAACCATTAAGAATATTCTGAGGGTGTATGAAAAGAGAACCGGGCAGTTATTAAGTCCTGATAAGTGTTCCATCATGTCCGGGAAAAAGTTGTAGGATCGAAAGTAGGTCTAGAGGGAGGGTGATCAGGCTACTTGACAAAATAAGAATCTAGCCTTTTCCCCAATTTTAAGTGTTGGCAGATTTTAGCAACTAGTACAAGTCAAGCAATCAACCTACACATGCAATTCTAAGAGTGTAGCGACGGAAAGTAAAACATTGCATATGAAGGTAAATGGAAGGGTTTGGAGAAGGCAAACGAAATGTAGACACGGAGAGTTTTGGCGTGGTTTCGATAGGTCGTGCTATCGTACATCCACGTTGATGGAGACTTCAACCCACGAAGGGTAACGGTTGCGTGAGTCCACGGAGGGCTCCACCCACAAAGGGTCCACGAAGAAGCAACCTTGTCTATCCCACCATGGACATCGCCCACACAGGACTTGCCTCACCCGGGTAGATCTTCACGAAGTAGGCGATCTCCTTGCCCTTACAAAATTTCTTGGTTCAACTCCACAATCTTGTCGGAGGCTCCCAAGCGACACCTAACCAATCTAGGAGACACCACTCTCCAAACGGTAATAGATGGTGATGATGACGAACTCCTTGCTCTTGTGCTTCAAATGATAGTCTCCCCAACACTCAACTCTCTCACACAGATTTTGCTATGGTGAAAAGATGATTTGAGTGGAAAGCAACTTGGGGAAGGCTAGAGATCAAGATTCTTGTGGTGGGATTGGAATGTCTTGGTCTCAACACATGAGTTTGTGGTTCTCTCTCAGAAAATGAGTAGTGAAAGTGTAGGCACGTTCTGATGGTTCTCTCTCAAATGAAGAAGAGGGTGGAGGGGTATATATAGGCTCCACACAGAATCCAACCGTTACACACATTTGACCTAACTCTGACAGACCGAATAAAAGAACTCGGTGAGACCGATTCAGTTCAAAATGTGAACGTTAGGAATCTCAGTGAGACCAACATGATCAACTCGGTGGGACCGATGTGCTATGGCTTACGGCAAACATCAACTCGGTGGCACCGATTGCATCAACTCGGTTAGACCAAAGTGAAGCAATGGGCAACAGAGAGGATGTCAAGCAAACTCGCTGGGACCGATTGCTCATTTCGGTGAAACCGAAATGTTACAAAGGGAAACAGAGAGTTTGCAAGGCCATCTTGGTGAGAATGAGATCCGTATCGGTGTGACCGAATTGTCTAGGGTTTCTGGCAGTGGCTATGTCAACTGAACTCGATGGCGCCAGAGACCAAATCAGTGGGGCCGAGTTTGACTTTGAGTTTTGGACATATGTGGAATGAGAAAGTGGCTGAGGGTTTTAGAGCAATATCACTAAGCACTTTGATAAAGTAGACCATTAAGAAACACCTCATCCCCTTTTAATAGTATTGGCTTTCTTATGGACTCAATGTGATCTTGGATCAGTAAATGAAAATGAAGAGTCTTGAGCTTTTGCCAATCTTTATCCTTAGCATTTTGAGGGGTCCATATCTCTAGTCCATGCCATGCCAATCATTGAACTTTCTGAAATATTTAACTTGAATGGATATTAGTTCAAGCTATATGTTGTTATGAATTACCAAAACCACTCGGGGATTAATTGCACTTTCAGTCTCCGCCTTTTTGGTAATTGATGACAACATATAGATCAAAGCTTCGACAAATGATAATATGAATGAAATACATCGTCACTTTGAGAAGTATGTGATAAGAAAGAGCTCCCCCTAAATTTGTGCATTATTTAAAATTTGCTTTTGAATGCAAATGCACAATCGATAGGATCATGGGTCACTCTTCCATGTCACATACATCTTGGGGGAGCAATAAAAATGATAATAGTTAAATAACATGCACTCATCACCAAGGGTAAACATGATTGATCATACACCATATCATAGATATCATCATGGAATCACACATTAAGGCATAGTATGATCAAACACATGATCACATAAGTATCTCACAAGCATAACAAACGTTGTAGCATAGGAATCAAACAAGCAAATGATCAAAGTAGCAAGAGAGGCAAATGAAACCAACAAAAGGCAAAACACTCTCTCTAGAAGCCTAATGATTTCTACACTTTCTCCCCCTTTGGCAACAAGTTACCAAAAAGCTTGAAAATGCATAGTGCTATACGGCACTCTAGGCACGATCTTCGGGAGCTCCTGAAGTGGTCTTCTGGCTAGTTGCTCTGGTGTGCATAGATGGCGTGGAGAGGACAACATCTACAAATGCTTTGGAGGATGTCTGTGGAGCTGGAGGTACAACCGTGGCAGTTGCTGCAGATGCTGAAGTGGTAGTCCCAAAATCTCTCACAACTGGCACTGCTGATGACCTTTGTGCCCTTGGCACTCAAAAGAATCTGTAGTAGGTCTGTCATTCCTGTCCTCAACTTCTTCCTGGAGCTTCTCCACAGTGGTCTGGATCTCTGTGACCTTCACATCTAGATCATGAAATTTTGTATCAATGATCCTCTCAAGACTCTCTTGATTTTGAGTCAGGGTGGCCAAGCCCTTCTCAATTCTCACTGTAGCCTCAAGCAGATAACTGAGTTGATCCTGCTTGGTCATAAGCATCACTGTTGAAGCATCTGGTGCATTGGCTGCCTTTGCTGCTTTTGCAGCCTTTGCTCTCTCTCTCTCTCTCTCTCTCTCTCTATCTCTATCTCTCTCTCTCTTCTCCTGAACTTTTGCACAAGTTGGATGAGATGCATCCATGACAATCTCATTGTCCTCAAAATTTGGCCTCAGGGGAAGATGCTCTCTATCAAGAAGATATGTCTCGCTTCCCATCTTGGAATCGATCCACATCTGTATGTGAGGGGCATATCCACATGATCTCTTCTGATTAGCTGATGTTCTTTCACTGTTTCAACAATCAATGTCATCACCTTGAACTTCTGAGGTACATCAAATAGGTGCAGCAAGTTGATTGAGTGACCATGGATCATTCTATGATCTCCTGACTTGGGCAAAAGAGTGTGACTCAAGATGTTGTTGATGGTGGCACTACTGCAGGATGGTCCAAATGCGACACTACGATTAGAGACCCTTCGACGAAATTGTGTGCGATGCCATAATCGCAAACGGTGGTGTAAAAAACCGTCAAAAAAGGTGCAAAGCATTTGCGATGATGGATGTATCAAACACGGTTCGGATTTTAGTTGCGTGTGCGATGCAGGGCATACGGTTCAGTTCAATTAACTGTTTGGGATGAGGAGGAACAAAAGAAACGGGCAACCAGATGAAGGTGTGTGCGATATACAGCATACGGTTCACTAGGATGAACGTGTGTGTGATTAGGCAACACAATGGAAATGGTTAACTGAACAAGATGTGTGTGATACGCGGCAAACAGGTCCGTAATTAGAAATGTGTGCGAAGACCAATAATAACACAGACGATTGCTGACACACACACACACACACACACACACACACACACACATATATATATATAAACTGAAATAAACATCCAATTACATAAGTGACTATACAGATCATTCGCACACACCTCAATAAACAATTGCATGCATTCTAAAGTAGGAGAAACGATCGTCTAGTA